AGGGCAAGGAAACTCTCCCTAATGGAGAGACTCTAGTGTGCAAAGGAAAAACCTAAAGGTTTCAAAGGGTGGCATTTGTTCCTAGAATGTGAAGTTAATATTCAAGTTTTTCAAGATACAAAGATTTGGAATTAAAAAAACAATGGCTAAAATAATTATGTTAACGATGTAAATTGCTACTTAAAGTAATTGATGATTTGAATCTCAACTCTTACATATGTAATAATTTAATTGAGAGATATCTGCTGATTACTCTTAATATTTCAAGAAAAATATTAATTCAACTATTGAGATAAGTTTATTTCTTGCACTTATTTAAAAAAATAGAGAAAACTATGGAGTGATAAAGAAAGAGACAAGAATGGAGATTGATGATTTTTATCCACGTCAATTCATATTCTCACGTTTATATCATTTCATAACTTTTCTCTTCCATTCATTCTCAACTTGCAATCATTTCATAATGTTTAATTTTAGTTAATTTTATTTTTTCATTATTCTCTTTCATCTCAATTCATTTCATTCCTTTTCCAGCAATTAGACAAGTAGTAAAGGTGAATTTATTGTGAGATGCCAAATGCTTATTGCTAAAAATTTCTAATTGACTGCGTCAAGTGTCTCCACAAAATAGCATCAATGTCTTCATTATTAATTTATATATGATGTAAGGAAAATTGATAACCAAACCTATTACTATTAATAAACTATAAAAAAAAGTCTCATAATTAAAAACCAATCCTCATTGTCTCAATAAAAAGTAAACAGTGTACATTATGCAGTGGCGCAGAGTTTTTTAACAAAAATAATGCAGTGGTCGAGGAAGAGACAAAGTAGCAATTAAAATCTATAGTCTATGCAAGATTAAAGGAGGGAATCTATTCAAGACGTGACAGTTCTGTATTGTTTACTAATAAGTCTTGGTCGATCTTTCTTCTCTATTGAGGAAGCCGCCAGCCCCCAGGAATACGGCAAAGACTAATTGAAAACGAAAAGAAAGCAAATCCATGGAATGGAATTCAGAAAAAGGTCTCAGTCTCATGGATGGGCACGGGGCTGGTCTAGTACTTCTACTAGTGACCTTGCTTGACCCGACTCGGTCAGATTATATTTTCTTTTTTTTTTTAACGGACAGTAAAAATTTCCATTCAAAAAAATTATAGAAATTTCAATAACAATTATTTTTCTTGATTATAATTAAAAAAATTCTCTTGTACCAAAGATGCCCTTGTCGAAAACTCGACGAAGGTGACCAGATGATCAATTCTGTGGTGGGTCGCTGTAAAACCTATAGGCCGAAAGCTATTTTTTTTAGGCGATTTTTTTAAATGCTTTTTTAAAATAATTTGGTTGTGACTACTGAAAATGTCTAAAATGGAATGAAATTTCTTAACTTTGCAATTGAAAAGCCTTAAGCTCACTTGGAAAATGGCTATTCGAGACTTGGAGTAAATTGTTGGTAACTAAAAATATGATTAATAAAAACCTAATGTGGGTACAAAATTTGCTTAATTTCCTTATTGAAGCTCTAACCTCACTTGAAAAATTAACTTATTACAAACATGGATTAAATTGTTGGTAACTAAAAATAAGATCATTAACCTTTTTAAGTGAGCTAAATCTTCTCAATAGTAAATCCGATTTGAGAAATTTTTGCACTCGTCTTGAGTATTTTCATCAATTGTATTTTCAATTACCAACAATTTAGTCCAAGTCTAAAATAGGTTATATTTGATATTTATTTGTCAAAATCACAACGCATATTTGTCAATATCTGAACACCTAATTGTAAAATATAAAATAACACTTATAAGGTGAGAACATGATATATGAAACGTTTTTACATGTTAATGTCACAAATTCATGTCGTTAAAAACATGAATTTGTACTTGCCAATGTAATTGATCATGTTTGTACGTGAAGTTATTTTCTTCTTCCATTCTACATTTTTCTTGTTCCTCCTCCTCCTTCCTTCTCTTATACTTTTGATTTATTTCCTTCCGATGACACTGGCAAGGTGAAGGGGTAGTCCCCTTCAATTGCTTCTAAGTGATGGAAGTTCTCTCTCTCTCTCTCTCTCTCTATCTCTGTATGTCTGTGTGTGTGGTGGGGGGGAGCTCAAAATTTTTTTTTTTAGATGAGGGATATTTTTGTCATTTGTGGTCAAAGCCAAGTCTCGCTTTAATCCTTTGGGCCTTAGCTTAGCTAGCATTATATTACTTCAGAATGTCCTGGTTGATATTCTTTCCATATTTTTCCACGTATCCAACGTTGTTTTAGAAGATAAGCGTAGATTTATAATCATAGAAATTCTTGTGATTGAATAAATTTCTGCAATTTGGTATATGATCTGCAATATTGAAATATATTGTATTGTTACGGTAACACCCATACATTTTACAACCTGCACTTAAATTTCATGCCAAGAATCTCTCGATTGGAAAAGAGTTGATAGGGAATCTTATGACGTTATGATCACTGGTCAGTTCTCAGCAACCCATTTCATACGGTCCAACTGGAATTTCGGTGCCCGAAGTGGATATACGAAGACTCGTTGAAGTTGAACCACGCCGCTGAAAACTTCTCATCTCAAAATATCAGTATGCCATTCAATATTAATATATAAATATTAAATTAACTCCATTCAAGTTATCATAACTCATCTTAAGACACTCTGCAGCAAGGTGCCATGTCACACGTAGGGTGTGGGGTCCACACACCCCATATATGGGGTTTAAACCCTCTCAGGCTTCCCGCAAAACCCAAAACCCTTCAAAGAAGATGTCACTGGTGCAGACAACGCACCAGGAAAATATGCACATGGAATGGGTCAAAGCTTAAAACGATCAAAAGGCTTATTAGGTAAGCATCATTTTCCATTCACGTATCCATCAAAGTCAACCCAATTTGTTCACTTCTTTATTCTTTTCCAATATATAACACAGCCATCTCTTCTCCTCTCTTTCATTCTGCAACATCACCAGCAAACACGCAGAAATGGGAGGCTGTTTCTCTTGCAGAGCATCCCCTACCTTCAACAGTGTCCGTGTGGTTCATCTCAATGGCTTTGTGGAGTACTTTGAAGGACCCATTTCAGTAAGCCAAGTCACTGGTGGAGGTGGTAATCCCTCAAAGCACTTTGTCTGTACTGCTCTTCAACTTCTTTCTCCTTCCTCAAAGCCATTGAACAAAGACACACTCCTCCAACCTGGTCAAGTCTACTTCATGCTTCCATTCTCAATTCTGCAATCTGACGCTTATTCTCCTGTGGACATGGCTTCTCTTGCAAAGAGGCTCACAGCAAAGGCCAAAATCAAGCCATGTAGAGATAAGTCCCGAAGGGTAGTACTAGTGATTCATCAATTGGTTGGAGTTCACCTTCCAGGTGTCCTGGTAGGGTTGGTGTTGCAGACCAGATTGGTGTGGGCTATGGAGGAGGACGAGGCCCTTGTAGAGTGAGGCCATGGAAACCTATCTTGGACAGTATCAGAGAGAAGTCCTTCAATAGGAGAGAGTCTGATTTACAGGAAAATAACTGATGTTTTCAAGAGCTTGGGTATGAGAGCTTTCACAGAGTCGTTTTCATTATGATGATTTTGGGCTAATGTCATGTTAGAGACTTAGAATCAAGTGAAGTGAAATTTGTGAGAGCTAGGCTACGTTGGAGTGATATTTTGTGTAACTTGTAGAAATTTATGGGGCAGAATGTCACTAATAGTGTCCTGTTTCTGAGGTCTGTAAATTCTGTTCTATTTGAAACAACTAGTTACTGAAGTTTTCACTTGCAGTTTGTGTTTATTTAGAGGATCGCTTCGTCTAAAACAATGAACCAATTTAGTTATTTTCTTTCTTTTTCTCTGAACATTGGTGGCGGTAGGTACTTTTCCAACAAATAACAGAACTGATATTGGATTATTGGGTAGAATTTAGATGTTCTCTGGTCTAAGGGGTGGCTGTAGAATTCACTTCCCATTATATAAGGCTTTTGCATTCTTCTTACATTAAAAAATTTTGTGAAACACTTATTTGTTTTTAAAATTTAAAATCCAAACCTTTAGAAGAATTACCTTTAATTAGACCAAATAATGTTTAAATCTAACTCAATTAGATAGTTATATAAAAAAATTAATGCACACATTTTCAACCAAAAGTATTAAGAAAATTACATATAAACATAAAAGAACAAGTGCCGCAAAATCAATTTTACATAATTTCTAGTTCCTAACAAATATTATGTGAAGGTAATATTTATTACAAACAAGAAAAGATACTCCAAATTTTACTCTTCATCAATTTTTTTTTTTTTTGGTTGTCAATTTTGTGAATAAAAAGGAAAGGAAGAGAGAGAGACACCGGGTCAGAATTGAACCCATTCATATATCAAGCTGAAGATATGTAGAATTAGGGAAATTAAACACAAAATACCGATGCTATACATTGAAATAAATTTTGCCCTGCATACATGGAAAGGGTGAAAGTAATATTCAGCTTCACAAATCTCCAATTCCAGAGTATCAGAACTATTTCTTTTCTCCTCTCTAGTCCTTTTGGAGAAAATTGTTGAGACGAAATTAAGAGGATTTGGATCCCATGCCTTTAGCAACTATAGATATTGGATGTCTATACCCACGTGGCAAAGTCCATTTTGTCAGTTAAATTGAAAGTTTAGAGAATCTCGTTGCAATCAAAATCATGAATTACTGAATCCAATTTTCTTAAATAGCGTAACTGAATGTAATTGTTCACTCTATTTCTCATCCAAAATTTAGAACTATCTTAAATGGAGGAAGATTTTATACCAACAATAGGCAAGAAATTTGACAGTTTAGAAGAAGAATAAAAATTTTGGACTGGTCAAGAAAATTCTGAAGTTTACATGAAAAATGGGGTAGACATTCACTATGTGATGTTATTTAGGAGATTTTGATGGATTTAGATTTAGTGTTTCTTCATTTTGGTTGTAACAGGATTTTTCAGACCGTTGATTTAATGTACAACATAAATTTTGTCACGTGAATATAAGCACCGAGTGCCTATAGTTACCACGGGCGTGGGATCCAAATACAAATTAAGAGTATCTTTTCACATTAAAGATTCAAAGGTATAATAAATTACAGAGCTGCGATGGGTGCAGATGGGACCCACTTCTCAATGGGGGAGCATTCCCAGCCACCTTCTTTGCTCTGAAACACAACAAAATGTTTAGGAATCCAATTTTCTCCTCTTGACTCTCTTTCTCTCGCCAGTTTCCTCTGTCTTTCCTCCACAACTTTCTTTGCTTCACTTGCTTTCTCCCATTCTTTGCTCAATATGGCTTCGCTCAGCTCACTCCAAACCAGGGCAGACTCTGTTGGCATCACACTCTGATCCACAAGAGAATTTCACGTCACATTCAAACATAGTGCCAAAAAAAGGAACCGTTTTATTTTATTTGTATGTAATTCCTTTTCGTACATCTAAATTCTAATGTAACTTTGAAATGGAAACAAAAGAGAAAAGAAAAGAAAAGCCTTATGCAGGCCACCCTAGTAGATCTTGGTTCACAAAAGAGAAGACATATAGGTAAAAAGATCGACAGAAATGGAGATGAAGATATGAACATGAAACCTTTGGATCGCGGACAGTTGGACTTTGGAGCCCTGAAATGACTTCATTTGCATCATATATCACTTTAACCTTCCCATTACTTGTGTCCTTTATTGTCACAGTTCTGCATTATGAAAGTGGATACGAAATACAGCATTATCCAATTATTACAATCAAGCATTTCGCAGTCATGACCACTACCACTGGTTTCGCACACAAAAGAGAAAGGCATTAACTTTCAGAATGCAGAGAGATGCTCTGAAGGAAAATACCTGTCCCAATGACCATCCACTTCATAAAGAACTTTTGATGATGATGAATTGAGGATCTTCCCTTTGATCAATCTACGATTTCCCCCAAGTCCTAGATAAGAATTACTTTTGAAGCTTAACTCTGCCGCCAGACCAGTCTCTAGACACCGAATATTGACATTTCCAACCCAATTGATATCAGGGACTGGAAAAATTCTGATTAGGAGGTGAGGACAATTCATTTCATACGTTTCTCCATGATTGAGGAGCTTCAGCTGTCGTTTACCAAGAACTTGAGTCTCCACTGAAGTGCCTGTATATTTGGTTTGCATAAAACACAATGATAGACAGGTCAAATTATTGCTAACATGTGGTAGGTAAGAGGCCAGTAATAGGTGAACAAAGAATAGGCAAGACCGGGCTAGCAATCAACCCGGCGACCAGTCTTTGTGGACCGAGACCAAGACCGGGCCAACCCAATATAAAAAAAACTTAGTCTGGTTTTGTACTGAAAAAATATTAAACAAATTTAAAAATAAAATAAAAAATAAATTTTACATATAAAATTATGTCCATCGAAAATATCCCTTAAAAAATTGTAATGACTAAAGCATTTCCTATAATGAAACTGACACTGAATACGATAAGATTTGATTTCCTATACTGACCTAGTTATCGCATTCAGGCTTGTTACTGAAGCATATTATAACTAGGTCTATTAGGAGTTGAAGAAGAATATTTATGATTCTAAAAAAATAAAAATAAAACGGTCAAGATACCACAAAACTTTGGACTCGGTTGTTGGCACCATATCATCTCTATGTTCTGCTCCTCATCTGTTGCATGTAGGGCAGACACGGGAGGATGGTGTGAGACCTGCAAACATGGAAGCCGACGATTCATTAATCTTCTGGAGAGCACGGTCAATCAAGAGATTGGCCTAGGGGATTATTAATTATAAAGAAAAGCTCCTCAAGAGGGTCATTCTCATATCAGATTAGACCCTGTAACAAATTTCTGATAAATCAAACAAGATGGAGACATATCCTCGGTTATAACGCTAAATGAATACAAAACGAAGAAATGCCAATAGAAATTTCAAAACTAAGGATACCAAAAAAAAAAAAACATATATTTAAGCATTGAAAGGAAAAATGAAAGAGGGAAAAGCAATTACCTGTTCGAGCAGGACGTTGAGATTTCCCCTAGAAGCATGATGGGTCTCTCCAAGAATAGGGTTATAAGGAGCAAGTAACATTGTAGGGCGAGTCGTAGAGATACACCATGCAACCACAGATGTGAACCTGTCCACTGGATTCTGCTCTCTATTGCATTTGCTTAGCAAGTCTGAAGCTGTGCAGTATACAGACTCACCATAGCACTGAAGTTGTGACTTTGGAAAATTAAACAGAGGCGGCAGCTGGACGCAGCAACTATCAGCATCAGTTACAGAAATCGTTGGAAATGTCTTACTTCATTTTATATCACAGAAAAGAATTCTTCGGAAATGCGACATTTAATGCCTGTTAAATCGGGTTTAATGTTGCCAAACTAAAATGGGAATACTGAATGAAAAGTGCATATCGCATTAATGAGAGAAGAATTTACAAGTGTTTATATACAGGATTAAACACCCTGTACAAGGCTAACAGATTTATTTACAACTAATTAACTAATTAACAACAGAAATTAGGTTGAGACTGACGGTTAAGGGAGGAAGAAAACTATCATAATAATACTATAATGATTCAATATTTTTATTGCAATATTTATTTATGATAATGAATTATGTTTTGCTAACAGCCTAGCAACACGTTTATTAATTTTCTCAATAGCTATTCTTTTGGAAAAATAAGGAAATATTTGAAAGGATAAAAAATCTTTTATTTTTTACTCACCTGATCTTAGATCTTACATATAAGTCGCTTCTAAGTTTTAACTATCTCACTAAAACTAAAAAAATAATAATTAAATTATTAATATTCTCTGAAAAATAACAAAAATATCAATTTATTCTAATTAAAAGCATCATCCTTAAATATAATGCTAAAATATATAAAACTTCCTTAAACTATAGAACCTTAAGATGAGTTTTATATATTTTAGTTTAAAAACAATTGATCTCTCATGTGTCATATTTTATTCTATTCACAGAAATTCATGAAAGGATAAAATTAAAAGAAAACAATTAATGATATTTTTATCGAAAGTGACTTATAAAAAAACTATTAACTCTTTCTAAAATTTGAATTATATATACGACCAGGGAGAATTAAAAAAACTAGTAATACAATATCAATTATATTATTATTAGTATCATTAGTGCATGTCTTTCCAAATTTTTAGACACTTTTTTCTCTTACACTTATACTCAAAATAAAATTTATTTTTCTTTCACTCCATTTTTATTTCATTTGGCATTAACGTGTGAAGACCCGTTAAAGGAAAAGATGAAAGCGAGAAAATAAAGCTCTTTACATAGTACATTTTTGGTTATTTAATTTTATAAAATTTTCAGTTTAATCCCAATAATTATGAAAAGGAAAAATGCTGCATTCTTTTTTTTTTTGGGCAGTCGAAACTATCATTGAAAAACCAAACACGCACCAGGTACAGGAACAAGCAAAAAAAGACAACACTAAAATTAAAAAACAAAACAATTGGTGCAATTTTATCATTCTATCATGTATTTTACCCAAAATTTAATGTCAAAATTCGTAGCTCGTGGACCTAGATATTATTCTACTGTTTTTAGACATCACTAATTCACATATTATTATTATTATTTTAAAATGTCTCCATTGAAGAAAAGAATTAAGAGAGAGGAGGCAAGAACTTACTTGGAAGTGAGTGAGATCAGATCCAGGCCGTATACTCTTAAACAAGCTTAATACACGTTGCAACAAATTAGGGGCTCTATAAGCCGCATCCGTGTCTCCTAAGGAGAATGGCTTCGTCAGGATCACTTTTATTTCCTCCTTGCTTTTGCTTACCTGCTCCACACCCAAAAGCGCACTGTGCTTTACTTTGGCCAATCCAAAATAGAAATATTTACATATACAATAATAAAACAATTAGCAATACTCTCATGTTTCTCATATATCAGATGATAGAATTTAAAAAATAATTAGCAAGCGCTTTTCTTGTATTTTTAAAGATAAATTATATTACAGCCCGCTATTTTCCACTTTATATTGACATTAATTTGATGGAGAATCATATTTCATTAACGCATTATTATTCAAATGGGACAAGAACGTTCAAGAATATAGAATTTCATTTGGACTGATCTTTTGACTCGGGGAGTGAATAAAATTAGATATGCACACTTTTAAATGCAATGACATATACTATTATTTACTTTCCTTGTCCTATCGTGCATGTTTCATAAAAATAATCGCCACCCCAGCTTATTATATTGAAACCGAGGCTGGTACCGATTTTTATTCTCCACAAGTGGCCCATATCATAAAATATGTAAGGAAGCCGTTCAGATTCAATTTACAATAGAGACATAACTAATAATATAACAAAATAACAAGTTCGGTACCAACAAGTATTGGTTTTAATGATAGTGGAAGAAACTATGATTTCTGGAGTAAGAAATCTCAAATTTAAATTTGAATTTGAATTCATATAAAAATAATATATATATATATATATATATATGAGAGGTTCTCTGTTAAATGGGACAGTACTCAAATCGAGCTGAATCAAGTAATGATATTAAAATACAAAGTTAGGTCATGATTTGTGGCTACAAAATAATAAAAGTAATTAAATAGGGAATGACAAAATAATAGCCAATATAATAAAAGCAAATAACTTTACGTAAAAATATATATTTATAGTACAGAAAAACTTAATGCTTTGCGATTCCCGATTCCCCGTCTGTAATTGCCTTTTTAAGTTTTGGTTTTTCTCTACAGCCAGCGATAACTACAATCTTTTTCTGGCCTGCAATAGCCAGAAGCACCCATTGGACGAAGAATTTGCGCGTAAACGAGAACCAATTGAACTGAGATAAATCCAGACACCGTCTGGCATTTCAATCAATGTTTGTAAACAAACTACTTTAGGGCGGAAAAGGCTGGAAGGTCAAACAGAGGAGTGGGAACTGAGAAGTGAGAACACTACTTTTGACTCTAAAAGAAGAAAAGAAAAATTAGTTTTACATCTCCGGCTGAAGGCTTTTGCAAATGAGTTTCTGGAAAAGCAAGAGGCAGAGGCAGATATTATTCTGAAAGGATGCTTCCTTGCATGAAATGATCTTACTTAGCGTTAGGCAAACGGAAACACAAAACAAAAATTAGGATTAATTAAGAGCCAGCCAATCAGAACAATTTAAGTATGCGGCAAGCCTCTGGCCATTTTCGTCGCATCGCTTTCACATTTCCAAAGAAACAAAACTTTTCCAGAAAACAGAGAAGGTTTTTGAGAGACGATCAAAGAAGCGAAGGAATCGAATGGAAGAATGGAAATTAATAAAACAAATTATCAACCTAAAAAAAAACAAAAGAATAAAACAGGAGAAACAGAGAACGTACCATTTGAGAAGATGGAGGCGGGGGAGAGAGAGAGAGAGAGAGAGAGAGAGAGAGATCGCTGCAAATTAAGAGGCGATAGCGATTGCGATTGCGAGGACGACGAAGAGTGTTTTGCTTAGAGCTTGGAATTCTGAATTGAAAAGGGAATGGCGTTTCGGAATAATATGATTTGTTTGAGGGCCCTTGTGGTGTCACCATGAGGGCCAACGAGACTGCCTGCCAAGGGCGCGGTGGGTCCATCTGTCATATACTCTATATAAGCATAGATAAGATGCTCGGAGTTGCACGCGGTTTGGGTTAGTTCGCATCATCGTTTCAGCCTTTTAAGCCCTCTTCGTGAAATGACGTTCTTGTCCTTGAGAAATGAATGACATGAACTTATGTGTCATCGTTTGTCTTCGGACAGATTCCATTCAAATTTTTAATTGGCTAAAGCGAACTCCCTCCTGTCGCGCGTATTTTAGAAAGTTTTTGAGGAAATTTATGTATACGATCTGTAAAAGCAACTTATTGAAAAATAAATTTTGCAAAATTTAAAAATTACAAACAAGTTTTTTGAAACTTAAAAGTAATTTAAAGATGAAGTAAAAAGATACTACTGCCCTCACTTATTATACTACAATAATAAGCATGCCTCTCTATATGAATTAAATTGTAAATTAGTTCTCTTCATCAGTTCACCACATGATCGCTCACTTAATATTGCTCTGCCATATGCATTCTTCTCCTTCATCAATCCACATATTGCTCACTCTATTCATAGCACTGGCTCTCTTCTTGAAATTGTATGTTGGGGCAAAATTCATGATCCTTCATCATTATCATCATCACAGTCAAGTGTGATCAATGTTACTTCTCTTTGTTCTTATACTTGCTTTACATGTAAAAGGCTTTATCTAAATCAGTCGGTAAGATTTCATTATTCAATTTAAGTTTTTATTATTTTAAGTTTCAATTTTCATTGTCTAAAATTAAAACTTCTCATAAAAGTTATCAGGTACGGAGCAGTAGAAAAGAGACATAACAGTTTGCAAAAAAGTTTGAATATTTGTAAGTAAATTAAGAAATTCAATTGATTATAAAATACAAAATAAAACTTAAAAATTAAGAAGTTTCATTTATAGATTATGAAACTACAGTTGTAAATGAATCATAAATATAATTTTAGTCGATTGTTTATAAAACATAAAATAGAATTTGTGAATCAAAAGGTTTTACTCATTAATTTTTAAAGTTATAGTTATAAATAAATGATAAATATAATTGCAGTATGCTATTTATAAAATACAAAAAGTAACACTTGTAAATCAAGAAGTTTTATTCATAAATTTTGAAATTACAACTGTAAATGAATTATAAATATAATTTCAGTCTATTATTTATAAAACATGAAATATGACTTGTAAATTAATAAATTTTACTTGCAAACTGTGAAATTACAGTTCTAAGTGGATAGTAAATACAGTTTTAGTTTGCTATTTATAAAACATGAAATAGGACTCTTGAATTGAGAAGTTTTATTCATAAATTATAAAGTTACAATTCTAAATGAATGTTAAATATAATTCTAGACTATTATTTATAAAACACGAAATAAGACATGTAAGTTGAAAAGTTATACTCGCAAATTGTAAAGTTACAACTATAAGTAAATGACAAATACAATTTTAGACTAGTATTTATAAAACATGAAATAGAACTTGCAAATTAAGAAGTTTTGCTTATAAATTGTGAAATTATAATTGTGAGTGAATGATAAATATACTTTCAATCTATATAAGGAGTAGTAATGTCTTTTTAACTTAACTTTAAATTACATTCAGGTCCCAATGGATCCATACATAATTTTCCCAAGTTTTTTTGGTCTTTTATATACATCATTTTTCTTTTTTTTTATAACATTTAATATATAATTTCAAAAATACCCTCCAACAAACTCTTAAAATAAGTGCAATATTCAAATTCATAAAAAAACTCTTCTCACATATCAAATCAATTTTTTTAAAAAAAGTCAGGAGCAAAAGTGAAATATTTTTAAGATAATTTTATTATTTTAACTAACTTACTTTAGTTTTGGTGAGCTAGTTAAAAATGAGTTATAAAAATGACAAGAGGGAGCACTCCCATGTGTTAAAAAATGTAAAGTATTTTTAGTATTTAAATATATAACTAATGTATTTTTTAAAAGTGTCCAAAATAAATAAATTATGTTATATTTATTTTAAAGTAAAATATCATGCTAAATGAGAGTAAATATAAAAAAATAATGTTAACTTATAGATAAGTAGTTATTTTATTAGGGAATAAGATTCAATTAAAAACATATTACTTGTTTTAATGGAAGAAATATAATTAATTCTTTAACTTTATACAAGATTTTATTTTGGTCCCTTAAGTTTATAAAGTATATTTTTTATCTTTTAACCCTAATACCATGAATTCCATCACAAAAAAATTTTACATTAAACTTTTAAATATTGATAAAATATTTTTAAATATTGACATATTAATTTTAATTTATTAAAATAATAAAAATTAATATAAAAATAATCATTTGAAATTAATAGTGTTAGGATTAAAAATTTTAAAAAAATATTTTATAAAATCAAGGAATTGATCTCAAATCTTATACTCCCTCTATTTAAAAATATAAGAAATTTTTAATCAAATCTTACCTCCAATAAAGTTACTTACTTTTAAATTAACTCCATTTTTTCATACTTATCCTTATTAAACATCCTATAATAAATATAAAGTTATTATCAATAGAGGCACTTTTGAAAAAAAAAGTAATGATTACACCTTAAAAAACTAAAAATAAATTATATTTTTTAACATTTAACTCCTAAAAAATACCTTACATTTTTTAACGGATGGAGTATATAGTAAGAGAACTAAAAGTATACTTTAGCATTACTAATTTATAATTATAATTATAATTATGGATAAATATTTTTAAATTTTGTATAAAATACGTTAACGTCCCTTCCATTTTATTAAAATTACATGGGCATTCCCTTTGTTTCTTAAAAAATACGTTTTAGTTCATTGATAATCTGTTGTTAAAAATTCTAAAATACGTATTTTTATTTATAATTATGTTAACAATTTTAAAATTATTAATTGTTTTCTTATAATCTAATTTTATTTTTCTCTCCCACTACCCAATTTAAAAAATTTAAATAATTAAATATGACAATATTAAAGTAAATGATTTAAAAATATTGTATTGAAGTTATATTTTTAAAAGTAAATATAAATTATATTGATTAATTTATCTATTATTATATTAAATTCTTATTGCATTATCTTTTATACACGTGAAATATTAATTTATCTAATATATGTATTTTAAAATTCTTAATTAAATAAGTTTGAATAAATAAAAATTTAAAATATGAATAAAAACGGTGAAAAAATATATCCATTAAATGTTTTTGGATAATTGGAATGATTTTTTCATATCATTTATATTTAAATAGAGATATTTAATATTTTGGTCTAATATGCATGACTTAATAGTCATTATTAGTCAACGAATAGTTAAATGGATGTAATAAAATCTTAAAAAATAAAAATAAAATTATTTTATAAAAATTAATTTTATAAAAAGTCTATATAAATTTTAAAAATAGAAGAGAGATATCTATAACTAAAATAAAATTTAAGAGAGACACCTAAAATTTTGTTTTGAGATTACGTCTTCTAAGATATTTCTTATTTCTTGAGCTCTTGTTAAGCGGTTAGTTTATTTATCTTAATAACAAAAGGTGATATGTAACATCATTATTTTTGTATTACATAATTTTTTAAAAATTATATAAGTAACTTAAAAAAAATCCTTTCCATTTCGGTAATAAACCAGGTTTTTTCCCACACGGTGCATAGCTCTTAAAAGTACTTTAAAGGGGAAATAAAAGGACAAAATGCCAAAGAGGCAAAATAATTAGGAGATTATTTCATCAAAAATCAATAATTAAGAGATTAAAAGTAAATTATATAGTTCAAATGTTTCTGTGCAGTGATCTAAGTATTAAAGTTTTCAAAAAGTAATTAAATTATGTTTTTAATAAAGCAAATACTTTGTTAACAATAAAAAATACAAAATACAACTTTTAATTATTCCAGATGGTGCATTTCGAAACATTTTTTATATCTCATGTCCTGTCCGTTAGTTTTTTTTGTTCTAAAAATCCATTTGATTGTATTTTCCTTTATATATATATATATATATTAAATTGTCTGGTTACAAAAAATATATATATACTCCATGTCCTTACAATGGCCAAATTTTAAACGTATTTTTCATTATTAATGATTCTATTTGGATGACTCGCTGGCATGATGAAGGAGAATATTGAAATTAACATAATTTATTTGTTGTTTATTTTTTTATTTTTTGAAATAATGATATGAAAATCATTTTGACTTATAAAATTACCCTTCTCATTGTATTTTGTTTATCATTGATATGCATAGCAAAATGAAATGGAATAAAAACTGATAAAAATAAAAAAGTGATTTTATAATTAAAATTTTCTTTTTACCATTAGATAAAAATTAGAAAGTAAGTATTATAATAACAAAATATACTAAATATCATATAATTTCTTATTTTGAAGTAGTGTAATTTTTTGCCCCTTGAGTTTGTCTCAACTAAAGAGGTAAAGCAAATTTTTCCTTTTCATATATTCAATTGTGAATGTCTAGTATTTTGAATTTATATGTAATATAATTTTCTCATTCAAAATTTAAAAATGGTATACTAGGCAACCTGCTGTTAAAATATTAACTGTGACCATTAGTTAACTTAAAAATTTATCAAAAAAAAACCTCAAAATTTTAAAAATAACTCACAAAGTTACAAATAAGTACCTTATAAAAAATTAATATTAATTAAATCCCTAAAATAGTGTGATAATTATTTAAAATAGTGTAATTTTGAAGTCTTTTAATTTTTTATAATTTTTAAGCTGACTAATGATTAAAGTTAATTTTTTTAATAACAAAGTGCCCAATGCACTACTTCCAAAAGTTAAAGAGGAAAGTGCAACACATGTAAATTTTAGATATCAAATGCTCCTAAGACAATAGTTGAAAGATAAAAATACCCCTTAACCTTAGTCATTTGAATTTAATTTTCATTAATTTTCAAGTTTACATTAATAAGTACACTAGCTATCGATTTGGCCCTTATTATTATTTAAATTTGAGGTAACATTGTTACAATTTGCCAAATGGGTAACAAAATATTGATGTTAGTAA